AGAGTCGTTGAAAATAGCATATTGAAAGATTAATCAACTAAAACAACCATGAGCAGCTATAATATTAATTATATGGTTGAAAAATTGATAGAAATTTTGAATATTAAAAAATGTGTGATCAAAATTAATTACAGACATATCATCAACTTTTTAAGTAATTCCAAACAAGCCCTTTTAGTAAAAAAATGTTCAGTTGTCCCTGTTTTCTTAAAACTCATTTCTCCTTAAATGTGTGTTTGAGCCACATTCTTTTTAGAGAATGTATTTTGTAATAGTAGATTAATGAAAAATGTGCAGTTAAAATTATTTTCAACCACATATTTCGTGGGATCCACGATTTTTAACAACTTTTCAATTACGTATTTCATCAATTTTTATCAAAATCTACAAGTTTAATTTTTAACTAAAACAAACAGGGGTTAAATATTAACTATTAAAATATTATTTGTTATATCCTTCGTATTGAGTGCTAAACTTTTTTTTCTAGTGTATTTTGGATAAAGTTTTTTTTAATTGTTCAAATATTTAAATATTGTATTTTTAATTAAAATAGTCTATCTTATTAACTTCTAGATAATTAAGGGGCGTTTGTTTTTCATTTTTGTAAAAATGAGAATGAAAAATATAGTCGTTATGAACCTCACACAAGAGATAAAAATTCAAATTTGATAATTTGATATGATGAATAACGATCATATTTTTTATTTTAATAGAAAAAGAATGAGAAACAAGTAGGGGCTAAATATATAATAATTAATATAAAATTACTTCAAAACTTGGGTCAAGAAAACCGGATACACTGATTGAATATTCGGTTTGTTTTCCATGATTTTTTAAACAAAAGTAAATAACACAATTTTGACCAACAAAAAGATGAATAAAAGTTCAAACATCTGCGTCCCACTTAAACGCGTTTACAACTTGTTTACCCGTTTTTATAAAAGTTCAAACATTTGTTCATATTCCCATCACATGAACAAGAATTCTACATGACAAAGAGTCGGTTTGTTTTGAATTAAAATTTAATATCAAACAATTAATATTAATCATATCTATCATGAATCTCATAACTTTTCAACAATACATTTCAAAAATTTTTATCACAATTTACTAAAAAATCTAATTTTAATATCCACCTAACACCCCCAAAGTGGCCCCTTGGAAAAATGTATAGGACGTTCTTTGAACGACAACTGTGTATTTAGATTTTGAAGCAATTTTTTCTTTATACAAAATTAAGTAAGTTAAAAAATAATTCGAACACTATAATACATCAAACGTGCAATACATTATTAGAATCATGTGATACAAAGTGGTTGAAATCAAATTTATTCGTCAACCTACTGGACCCATCCTGATCATTATCTTAGCCCTTGACAATGTTCATATCGAGGTAGTAGGCAATATCGTGATTGAGAACTTCAAAACATTTTTCATAGAAAGTTCAACATAATTTTAGATGAATGTCGAAAATCTTTTGAGATAAATTTGGACATTCCTCCGACTCAACCCAAATCTATAAACTTGATTGCGACTCCTTTCGAAGCATAGATGGAACAAATCCATTTATAGTATCGCAATTCTCACAATTTTACAAATGCCTATATTAAAAAAATAAATGAATAATTAGATAACATAAATTACTTCTCATACTAGCTGATGAGTGCACTATACTCATTATATTTCTACCATTTAATTCGTTATTTTGCTACCCTTGATAGTGTTTTAGAACTTTTTAATGAGTGTTTTGATATTGTGATGTATGTTGATGAAATTGAAATAAATAAGCAAAAGTTTGCGAAATTGGAGAAAAAGGATCAAATTGTAAGAGATCCAAAGTTTTGGACTAAAATGAAAATAATTAAAACTTGTATCGAACCTCACGATGAAGATCCGAGAGTGTTAGGAGTCAATTGGATGAGAAAAGATGTCAAATGGATCAAATTTAGGCAAAATATCACAAATCAATTTACAACCGAAAAGTTACGCTACGAAATTTTAGCCTCACATTGATACCTATTTTTGCCAAAGCAAATGATCGAGTTGGAGAATGATGTCCAAATCAAAGTTGTAGCTCTTTGAGTTAACTTTCCAACACATCTTAAATCACCTTAATCGGACATTGGACGAAGAGTTGTGCTAAAAATACTGAAGGATGCACAGTCTGTTGTTTCCGATCGAACCGAGCGTCGAGGAGCCCAAGCCTGACGCCGCAGTGCCCATGAATCTGAGTTTGAGCTACAAGCCCGACGCTGCAGCGCTCATATTGGGTACCGAGAAACCGAATTTGCGGGAAAACGCATTTTTATATTTTAGGAATCTTTTCTTGACCCAATTCAACTATAATTCGTCCAAGATCTCAACATACTATAAATATCATTCAAAAAAAAAATCCTATTTTGGAGAAAAAGAGGGAGGGGTAAAACACAACAATTGAAGGGGGCAGGATTGAAGAAAATTTATCAAGGACAAGGAGGCATGAAGAACATCAAGGGAATTCCAATTAAAAGTTTCAAAAGAGTTTTTCTTTCTTTTTCTCTTTATGCTAAAAATTATTTAAAAAATAAATCATTTTTAACATTACAATATTTTTTGAATCCAAAAATATTGCAATTTATGTGTTGACACGCTAAAAGTGCAGCCCAAATCGAATAGCCCAAAGTATGAAGCCCAATTGGGCAATTCAGGATAAATGCCCAAATAGGGTTATTAATGAATACAGTGGAAGCCCACGAGCGCGGTAAAACCATCACTCAAACTTGCAAGACGCCCAAGATCTGAGCGAATGAAGTGCCTTGCAGTCGCCCAGAGTTATGACCCCGTTCTCGCCCAAACCTTCGAATCGCCCATGATCTTAGCAAACATAAGATGTTATGGTTATCCAAAAGTGCAGTTATCGAAGCAGTTATTAAGTAATCTTATCACGTTCCACGATTCAAGGAGTTCAGTTGAAGATGGTTGAGCGACAAAGAGTAGTGGCAATAGTTAGAAACGACAGTTCCACGATAAATTGGCCACCATGAAGAAAGTGGACAGTTATAAAGCAATTAAGCAATTTCTAAGCAGTTGATCACAAAGAGATCATCAAGGGAATATAAAAAGAAGAGAAGACAAAGAGCAAAAGACCCTGAATCAAACACTCTCAAACAGAGAATATGTAATTTCAATTCCTTAGTTTAGACTTAAAACATTTCTTTTCAGTACTCGTGTGCTTGCGCCCCTTGGAGGCATTCTATTTAAATTCCAATTGTAAAGTCATCGCCAATAAAACACCCCTTTTTGAGACTCTGTCTCAAGAGGTTTGTTCCTTACACAATCATCTGATCCATTTTTAATTGTTAGCGACAACCCGTGCGAAATAATTTGGCACGCCCAATGGGACCTTGGTGTTTGGTGTTGAAGATACAAAAGGTGAAACAATATGTCTCAGAAATCCGATAAGGAAACAGCAAACCAGGGAAGAGTCCAGTCTGTAATCGAGTGATATGAGGAGCAGCATAGCTCTCCACGAACAGATGGACAAGATTAGAACAATCACAGTTGTTAAAAACCAATGACAGAGTTGAGTCCTCGAACCATGTGTGTATTACTCGGAGAACTCACACAAGATGTCGTTGAACAGGTAAATCTATGAAATATTCATAATATGGAAAGATTTACCCAGAATGGGAATGCACATTATGACAACATGGCCAAACAACTGAATACTTTGAACGAAATAATGAATAAGTTAGTAGGCCAAATTTGTCAGCCAGTTGTGCATCTTACAAATCACTTTCAAATTAGGACAATTGTGGGACATAATCCCCCAATCCTAAGTTTAAAACAAGGGGTAGAATCACCTTTTGATCCCTCTACTTCAAATCGGGAGGGGGGGTGGTGTAATACTAAATCAAAATAGTGGCATTGATACATCTAACTTGGGGGGTAACCTAAATGTAAGAGATAATGTCCTAAATAATGGGCAGAATACCCCACGTGTTAATGAGGGAATAAATGTTCAGGCTAATGGTAACAATGGCCAAAATCATGGTAACTTTGTTGCCAATCAAGAACCAAACATCAGGCCTCAAGCAAATCAACCGGTCAACCAACCTGTAGGAATTTCATATGACCCCAACGTCATGTTGAGGAATCAGATTATGAAAATCGTACAGGACCAGATGGCTTTTGGAGTACATCCTGTCATTAGGCCGACTTACACAAAGTCATATCCTGATTGGATAGACCAAGCATATCTATGGCCTAGAGGGAATAAAGTGCCAGAATTCTCACTGTTTACCGATTTAGGAGAGGTGTCTACTCTAGAACACATAGGGCGATTCACACTGCAAAGTGGTGACGTAACTGATTACCATAAAATGAGGTTGTTCCCTAATTCATTAACAGGAGTAGGCTTCTCATGCTTCATCAATTTGCCAGCAAACTCTGTTCAAACATGGCAACAATTAGAG